CCATAATCTCAGCCCTACATGCCATCGGTTGTGATATCGACTTTTTGGTTCACCAACCGGTGATCATCTCCTATCGAGGGATCTGCTTTCCTCAATCCGCTAAGGCTGTTATTGGACTGGGACTTCCTAAGGTCGCAGTCAGTGACTTGTGTTTGCTTGCCATTGTGGGCTCCCTGCGTACTTATGACACTTTTATGCGTGGCACATGGAGCTGAAGGTACATTTTTGCCATTTAATCTCACCCCAGACCCAGTATGACGGTCACTTTGTGCCTGATGTGCGAGTCTTGACTGTGCTAGCGCATACTGCGCCTTGAAGAGCATTCACCATTGTTTGTCCTTTCTTTGGTTGTTAGTCTTTAGACGCCTGTTCCCATACCAAAATCTTTACATATTTTGGGATTCACCTCATCAGACTGGCACTGTCCTTGGCATGATTTCGAATGAGACGTTTCTCTCTTTTCTCCCATATTCTCCTGTTACTCTTTCGCATTCATCGCTTGCATTCACTTCTTATGTTTGTGACCATGCTCTTCAAAAATAAATGATAATTCCCATGCGTGAAGGGATCGGTTTAATGTGTCCAAGACTAGCAGAGTGATGCAGAATAGGAATGACAACTTTTATTAGGCCAGTTCACCAGGGATGAAAGTTAGTAGGCGCACAGTTCACCCACAGGATGAACTGTCGCAGTCAGTGACAGCAAGAAACAGAGCAAAAGCTACTATTGGGGCTGCACAATCCTACATCACAGAAAGAGCAAGAAACACGCTCATCCTGAAACCGTGTCGAAGAAGGTCCACAGCCACGTCCGCAAACGGCAAATAACTTACACCTTGTGTTTTGCCCTTGAATGCAGGTGATGGCAAGAAAGTGTCAATGAAGATGAACGAAAAGGTGTACTTTTGGCTAGAGAATTTTTTCTGGTGCTAACCGAATCAAGCCATATTATACAGTTTGTTGACACAAGTTGAACATAGGATTAGTGCGCTGCGGATGGCGAGATGGCCCAAGGGGTTAGAGCGCGAATTTACTGACCGCAAGGTCGTGGGTCGAATCCGACCTCCACCACTCGACTTCTCCTGTCTAGAATTGGGCAACCTGGCAGTATCCCAGCCCTCCTGCTTCCTTCGGGTGGCATGGCAGCTAGGCACCGGAAGGGTGCTACAGCTGAACGCTCAGCGCTGCGGATTGCAGTGGCAAGATAGTGACAAGACATTTCGATGATACATAAGAAGAGAATTCGGTATGAACCAGATAGCTGAAGGATAGCTTGGTGGAAGAGTGTACGGTACACCGCGATTCAGCAACGCAAAGTTATGTGCACATACCCCGGTTGACAGGCATCCAGGGGCTGTGTGGTGATCTACGTGATAAACGGAGCACATTTTTACCTGACATTTTTAAAGCATGCCCCAGAAAAAACATACACTAGTTGTCTGATAGTTACGGCAGTTTCATAGGTACGGGGTGCAACAACGGATGCCAAAAAGGTGAATTACTTGTTCTATGCAGTCAGAAATGTTGAGTAGGTGCGATGAAAAGCTACTGGCCTAACGACTCAGTACGAATGCTAACCTAAGGAACGAGTATGATGATGAAGTTCCACGGATGATAGATACTAGTGCTGATCGGCTTGTCACCGTCGTATCAAGCTCAAGCAAGCAAGTTGATGACTGGACAGTGTCCTGTGAAGGAAGTCGTTACACGCCGCAAGGCAGCAAAGGTGTAAAACATGACAACAGTGTGATTCGTGTTGGGTGGAAATCCATCCCACGGATAGATATTTGTGATAAACAGTCCCAAACTTGACTTGTCACGCTACATCAGGTAGTGCGAAATGATTACAGTTACAGGAATGTGTGAATTCGATCTCAAGATTTCCGTGAAAAACTGTAATGAATGTCAGTGGCGCAAATAAAAATAAAAATGCATAGAGAAGCACCTCTTATCCTCTCAAGAGCTAAGAATGGGAGCACTATGGGCAGTCATGTATAAAACATTTTTATCGAACGGTACTGAACAGAGGGGACTATCGGCCGGCATAAAAATTCAGTTTCACCTGGGTTGGCTGCATGGGAAAGGAAATAAGACGCAACAACGTCAACAGCACCGTATCGCATAGCATGGCACATCGCTGTCCACTGGGCACCACAATAACAGACTGACGGAGATCGTGGACGTTTGGAAGCACCGCACACAACCGGTGTTAATTTACACAAAGGCGGAATTACCATAGCAACTGGAAAGACGTGTCTGGTCCACGCCATTCAGCACCCGCATTGAAAAGCGTGTGGTTGTCAACCGTTACTTTTAAGCTGATTAATTCGACTAATAGGCGAGTGGCTTGCAAGCAGTGACTGGAAGATGAAGTAAAGGTCAGTGCAGACAGGCACGCACGAGTGGCAATTTGGTCAGCGACTCGGAAGATGACGTTACCACCCGAATGACTCGGTAGTCATGTTGATTACATGGATCACTGCTGTTTCAGTTTATGACAGCTTGCTACACGGTAATTCAGCACGCTGGGTACGAGGCTACTGCGCAACATAGTGTGATGTTAACGCAGCAGCCAAAAACATTCCCAAAATATTGTTGCGACATCCAACAAACCTGCCAATCCCCAAGAAAAAAGATAGGAAGAAAACAGAGAAGCTTTATTAAGCATCCCAGTTACAAAGCGACTGCGTCTTACCGCGGTGTGGCGCCTTGTGCACCAGATGAGCTACACTGAGGGAGAGGTAACACTCACAAAGCCTCTCGTATCGGCGAATCGATATAGGTCTGAGAAACAAAGCGGGTAGAGCGCGAATTAAGTGACCACAAGGTCCGTGGTTCGAACCCGTCCTCTGCCTCTCGACGTCCCCTTTCTAGGCTTGGACAACATGGCGATATCCCAGCACCCGTGGCCCCTTTTTGAGAAACAAAGGTTCCTGGTCCTGCAGGTTGTGCGGGGGGTGGGGTAGAGTGGGGCATTAGCAGCAGTGTCGCCTTACTTGCCACATACAGCAGGGCGGGTAAACGATAACGAGCTGATGGTGAGGCATCCCTTTTCCACTTTCCTCCTCTTTCCCTGGCTGGATATCCCCATTCACAAGGATTTGACTCATCTGTTGGCCCACTGCAGTTAACCGTAATATCTACGGTTAACTCGGCCGCCAATTGAGAACCATTCATCAGATACCGATGATCAGTTCACCTAACAGACGTTAACATTGACACTATGGAATAAGCCAGACAACGGATTGCTTTTGCACACGAGATTGTTCGTATTATTGGAANTTTTCCACTTTCCTCCTCTGTCCCTGGCTGGATATCCCCATTCACAAGGATTTGACTCATCTGTTGGCCCACTGCAGTTAACCGTAATATCTACGGTTAACTCGGCCGCCAATTGAGAACCATTCATCAGATACCGATGATCAGTTCACCTAACAGACGTTAACATTGACACTATGGAATAAGCCAGACAACGGATTGCTTTTGCACACGAGATTGTTCGTATTATTGGAAAAGAGCAGGAAACACATCAATTGAAAAGCTGACCAAGGTTGTTGAGTCGTTCGGCATGTGCTTCTCACCCACAAAGCACAGTTATGTTGCACGACATACAGTTTTGAACATACCTCTATGGATTCAAGGAGTGACAGAGGAAATTGTGGAAGTTGCACTAGCACCGGTGGTAGGACGATGTTAGTGTACGAATCTCAAAGGCCAGAATCATTTCCGCCAAGTTACCCCACTTGGGGTATCAAAAGGGCATCAAGTCTGTCTCAAGGGACAAGTGCAAGGGATGTATTTTCGTACGTCTGCGAGACTTGGCCAGTTGGGATGCGACATTCTGGCTCTTTGACCGCACCCCATTTCGTTTGAACTAGAACAGTATGTTTCACCAATTGGTCCTCAAGGCCACGTTACAGACAGTCGTGGTCTGTAGTCCTTATACACCTCGTTTCTTCGGAAGACATTGGATAGAACGCGAGGAATGGTTACAACGCTTTTCGGACGTAAACAAAAACACGATGAACGTTGGTTGTCACTATACGGTTCGCAACATATCGACAGAAGGCAAGTGTCATCAGTGGGCTCCAGTGACATCCACCCGCTGCTTAGAAGGATGGATTGCTTGGCTGAGCTGCGTGGCCGAAGATAACATCAGCACACAGGAGTTGTAATTTTACGACAAAGGCGGCTGCAAACTGATACTCGCTGATGTTATGCATTCGATGATGATATTCACAATGGACTTATCCAGCTGGATGACTACATTTTGTTTTGGCTCATCCTGGAATTTCCGGAAGTCATCAGGCGGTGTGGATCCATGCATGTACTATGTAGCACTTTATTAAAAAAGTTTCTAGTTTTGGAAATGTAAACTTCACTTCCTTAGTAGTCTCCTTGCGAATTTATATAGTTCCGGTGCTCCATTTCATTTGATTTATTTGCACTTGAGGAGCCTTCCTCCACTGCACTGATAATTTATTTGGACCGAACCCTTGTGTCCACCCAACCGTTTCTATTGTCACGATCCTTGAGTTTGTTAATATCGTACACTTCCCAAGAAGACTTGATGCCGAATTCGACTGTGTATTAGTTAGTAACGCAAACAGCTTTGAAAAGTACATCCATGTTCCCTTTGGTCCATCCGATCATTTAATTATGAACGCCTCCCCACCCACCCACTCAACCCTGCACTGACGATGTCACCTCCTTGGTGATGCAGCTTTGAAAAGTACATCCATGTTCCCTTTGGTCCATCCGATCATTTAATTATGAACGCCTCCCCACCCACCCACTCAACCCTGCACTGACGATGTCACCTCGATTGGTGATGAAAGGTTTGCAATCCAACTGCCAAGCTTGGCGAACAGACCAACAACCAAACAGCGCACCCGAGCTACCTACATTCCACAACACTGCTAACGCCCCCCCAAAGTTGGACCCGAAGACAAACCACAGTTCTTCTGTAAGAAAGCTTCACGGATGCTTAAGCGATAAAACTGCTGATATGAAGATATAAGCTAACTGGGAAAAAGCTTTTGGCCACCGATTTTTCACTTCGTCACTTGGCCGCAACAAGGCGATTTGATTGCCTTCCTATGGATCACACTGGCGCTTTTAGAAGCATGGGTGTCGTCGCAACTTCGCCCTAGAGTTGCTGATAAGGTAGGTCTGCTTCGGTCTCTAAAAGACTCCTTGACAAACTGAACTTAATGGACAAACCTGTGGTCAAACCTCAATATTACCACTGATACAAATGGGTCGTCTTCAAGAGGTGATGCTTCTTATCCCATTTTCCTGTTATCTCGGGTTCTGTCAATCGGATATGCTATCGAGGTGGTGCCTGCCCGGGTATGCGCCACCCTGAAAAGCTAACATGAATAAACCGGCCGTACTTGATGTAATCACGGGATGGTCACAGGAGCGTTCCCTGTTTATGTCCGAACTCCACATATTTCAGGAAGTTTATGGGACATACCATTAATGGAGTTGCTGAAAACTCTTAAAGCCGAGTTTCCGTTAATCCTGCGTAATACGTGAAGACTGAATTGCACACAAGTGGTAAAATATACTCACTTGTAAGGTAATTAGGTGAAAAGTATCATAAACGAGGGTTTCATCTGAGTCTCCCGTCAACACCAACCCACTTTGCAAATGAGCATTTCCCACCAAGTGCGTACAACTTGGCGTTCGAACGGAACATAATATTGACAGAAACTCGAAGAACGGGTCCACCAGATGAATCCCATTGAAGGTGAAAGCACCTGTGGACTGTCGAAAAACTTCGAGTAACCGTACGGACAGTGTTCACTACGTCTACGGTCATGACAGTCTACAAAATCTCTCCAGAAAGCCTCTTGACTTGACTTGAAAATTTCTGCACCTTGAGGGGGGATAACTGTCAGCCTACAAATCCTTGCAAGAGTTGCATAGACGAAGGCCGGATCAGTTAGATTCTACACTGAGGAGATTATGTGAGAAGCCAGGGACTCACATGGTGAAGATACTGAATGCTTTCCATATGAAATGTAGCAGACAGCGGGGCACCGATACAAATACTGCAGTGAAAGAGTTCCCTTATGCAAAATGCGGTTTTGTTGCATAACCTAGGCGGTTGCGTCAGACTTGATGGACAATGTACAAAGTCGTATCTGCACGCTTTTCCCCGTTAAAAGACTCGAACAAGTAGAAAAAGGAGAGAACGTTAGTACCAAAAGGTTGGTGAAGAAACTTTCGCAGCAAAACTGCCAAGTTCGGCGAACAACGCGATTATTAATGTAAAAAAATGAACTACTGTTATTGAGTTTGGCCCACCAAATACAATAATATCAGTCCTTAGACCCCTGCCCCCTTAAAGGCGTAGACCGAGTACAAATATTCAAACAGGAAGCGATAAATCAGAAAACTACGACAAAACCTGCACTGAGTTCTTCAACTGTGGCTATGTCACGTATGACCCACCACGTATGTGGAAGATGAATAGGGTGACAATGAAGAGGTGTACACGATTGTGATGCAAATGTATCTATACTACATATACACCGCTTAGAATCAAGCCAGTGCTGACTGATAGAACATCGGGTGTGCGTCCACACGCGCTTGTGTGCAGAACGAGGAGACTGGAGCTGACGAAATAACCAACACTTGAATACAAGGTGTGCATTGTGCATTCTACGCACAAAGAAATTAAAATGCGTCTCTTCTCAGGATCAATAGTGCCAACATGAGTATTGCTCCTCCTCTTGGTGTAACTGGATTTACACGAGATAGAGCAAAACTGACACCATGTGCGCCTGTTTTGCCGAAAAAAATAAATAGTAAACATGTGCATACCGCCGGATAAAAAGGATTATGCACGGAACACACTGAAGCTGTGGGACGATAATGATCATGATGAATGCAAGCAAGCTCAACTGACCCTTTCGCCACATTGCTGAAGAATATCCAACAACTTTGTTACAACCAAATCGACACATCGCATGGATGGGGGACCGAGCATTGTGATCAAATTCCGTACCGTTGCATCAAATGCCTTGTCGGGAGTGAAGAGGCCAGCTCTGGAGGGAAATATGCGAAAAATCAATGGATAGGAGGAACAACCAGCGTCATGGGATTGGTGCACCACTAACAGGAAATCACCCCCGTCAGCATTGAAAGCAACACCCGCGTTAAAACGTCACAGAAACACGTTAAATTATTTGGAGAAAAATGGTAGCGTAAAGAAGTCTACTACAAGCCTGACACAAAAACAGGAAGTACGAACGACTTCAACCCGCCGATAATCTAGATAAGACTTAGTTTATTAATTTCGTTAACCCAATGTTGAAAAAGCTTGGCAACCACGGTGGTAAACTGGATCATTCGGTTACACGTCAACCGGCATCCCGTAGTCAGAATGGAAAACCATGACTCCACTTGCTAGATAATAACTGGAAATGACCAAACCACCGGAGCTTGTTAAGCTCGAGATGGCTCGGTAGTTGAAGCGTGAACTTACCAACCGGAAGGTTGGTGGTTCGAATTCAACCCCGGCATCTCAGCTGTTCTTGTCTAAGCTTGGGCAGTAACGCAGCTCTCGAGCCTCCTTCAAGTGATATGGCAGCTGGGCAACAGAGGGGTTTTATGGGTGAACGATTATCATTTATCGCCGAAGCTTGTGACGCTCGAACCAGTCCTAAAGTGAAGCATCCACATAACCGAGCATCTGCATCATGGTCACATACCGACGGGAAATCAGCGTCAGAACATTGTGAATACTAGGCTCCAATGTTTGGAAGCTTCTAGACCTGGAATTCAACCTAGGATATTTCAACTGGAGAGCTTCAATCTTGCCAAAGCATTATTGAGAAATGGGCCATGAAACGAGCGATCACCATTATGGTCAAAAGAGGGCGTGATGAACTGGTGATTAAAGCGTGAAAACACAAACCTACTCAAAGCGAAACATAAATAAAAGGAAAAAGTTGAGTAGTTTAACCGCAGTCGACAGCATGGTACACACGGGAAACGTGATGGATATGCCTTTGGCAGTGAGTTCGCATTGCCTTCGAATTACTATACAATCTCACTTCTCGGAAACAAAACAGCTACAAAAACACGATATAAACCAGCGTCGTCAGAACTCCATGACAGTCGTTCTATTATACGACCGTGCTACTGTGCGTGCAACTTGCAACACGTTCAACTGCCGTTCGGCTAAAGGACCTTGATAAGGTCCTTGGAAAGCGTTTCGTTCAAGCAAAAAGTCGACTGCATTGCCAGACCATCTGCAAGGAGTCTGACAGTGTTTTGATATTAGGCATCTTGAGTGCCTGAGCTTCGCCCAAGGAATAAACTGAATGCACAATTACCCCTCTTCCAAATGGTGTTTATGAGCGCGCAGCTTATTCGAATTGCCTTGAACAGGAACTGGGCTGCGCTGAGGATCCGAATTCCTCGGAACTCCCAGAAACGCTCCTATTTCGTCGTTACGGAGTATTTCTTTTCAAAAGTGTGAATATCGAAACAATATTAAGTGTCAGGATGCACCTACCTTACAGCATGAATGTTTTGAATGGCGATACTGATTTCCCTTCTGAGGGTCTTCTCGTCGAATTGAATCTAAAACGAATATGTGCAAACAGATGGTAGACACGGACCGTAGCTGTGTTGGGTCAACTGTAATTAGCAATACTACACAATGACACACAATACTTCATACGGATTGGAGGGAAGATTGCAAGACAGAATACAAAAACGAGCCTAGTGGTGATGGACACCTCTTTGGGGCGAACGATCGGTCCACTGAAATTGTCTGGTGAGGTTAACAGCTAGTGAAAACAGAGCAAACCTTTCAAGTCAATGAGGCGTCTGAAAGGGTATCCCAGGTGAACTTTATCGATCGGTGCCTTGCAGTTTAGACGGTGGACATAGAATGTCTGAACGGAGCCCTTTATCCTCTCACTGTCTTGCGGGTCAAGGTCAAAGGGTCAAGGTGCAGGACAGTCTACAGGCGTCGCGGGATCATTTAATGGTCAACTTCAGACGTATATCTTGTCCAGCATATCAAAATGAACCAAAATAAAACTTTAATGAGTTCACGAGATCCTTCCTACAATAGGAACTTCCAAAATACGAACTCTGCATTGAATGAAACAACAGATAATAACCCCTTGAAACTTATACTCTCCTAAAATTGACATATGTGGTCTTCGAAACAGGCACACAAAACACAGGCTTGGTTATGCAACTTGTCCGGAGGCCAGCCGTCCCTAATAACCGAACATCACATCAGTTGGACGGATGTGTCACGTGCAAGACACGGAATGAGTCCAGCTCTTTCAAGTCCTACTCAACGTGTTTATGATGTAACGCTTTCTCTCGCTCGAACCCATTGTTTTCTGCGTCTACCTCAAGTATTTGATATTCACCCACAATCCCTCGTGAACTTTTGACCCCTGACATATCGAACCAATTCTGACGAACTTTTCACGCACGCTTGTTGACTAATTGCGTTACCACGTGCTGTGCCCGCAGATTTGTTGGTAATTCACATCAGCCTGTCGTTCTTACCGGGCTGTCATTGGACTTACACCAATTTGTGAAACTATTAGAAGGAAAACCTCAATCTCATATACACATTTTGTACAGCATTTTGTTGACGAACCTAAAAAACTTCGCAATTCTCGGCTTGTGATTTCGCGCGTCATTCACTTAGTTTTCCGATAATAGGTTACGTAATCTACAATGGAAGCCCTGAAGAGATGACGTGGTGTAAATGTTGTACTTAAAGCTGAAGGTGTCCTGCCAGATTGGATTCCAGTGAAATTAGACTTTGCGTCAGGCGCTTATCCAGTTCAGTGAAGTTCTGTGGGAAATTCGGCACGTTCATAGTAAGAACTTGTGACCCCTTGGACAGCAGTTTTGGGGTTGAGACTATCTACCAAGGTCAGCCCGGATTAAATCGCCTGGCAAAAAGCACTGACAGTGTGATCTTTTTTGCCAGGAAGGTCAGATTCCTGAAGATTATCGCAGAATACCCGAAACCTACCGAGACCCTCAAACTCCACTAAACGCCGATCAAACAACCCTGGATCAACATCAAACAGTACCCTTATATATAGCATCAGAAAGCCTTGGATCAAGGTCCAACAGTGCCCTTATTAATGTAGAGCGAGGCCGTTTTACGTTCTCACTCGCTTGTAGCAATAAAGCTGTTTTTCCTTGTCGGTGAGTCTTTTTCCGATACAAGGCACTGGAGTGGGGACAGGGTCAGATAGGGTAGCAATAAAGCTGTTTTTCCTTGTCGGTGAGTCTTTTTCCGATACAAGGCACTGGAGTGGGGACAGCAGTCAGATAGGTAATGCCCGGACAACGAGGGGGGAAGGGGTGGGCGAATGCTCCAGTTGCGCGTTAATCAATAACTGACTCCGGTCGTCAGAAACTCATTTCAATTCCATGAGACACAAATGTTCATCATATAACTTGGCGATCACCTAGTGCAAACCAACGTGGAACCATTTGGTTCCTATGAATATGATCACGCTATGGTGTGGACATGTTTGACAAATCACAAGACGTCGTTTCAAACCAACATCCTCGGAGAACTACCACCCTCTGTGTTGAACCAGCATAATACCTGTAATGAGCACATAGACGAGATGCGATAAAACCTAAAAGCAATTACACTCAAAGCCGTCTGTCTGGTTTCCCTGATACGAGAAAACGATCGTTGGATATAGTCGAGGTTAGTAATCCAGACTGGTGGCGTGTAGTCTATTCCTGTAGGCAACGATTACGAGGGTCCACGCAGATCCGTAGGGCGTCAAGCAGTGCAGAGTGCGAGGAAAGGTGGATAATTCAAATAGAGAACGATTTTGCCATTAGAAACAACCGTACCTTTCATCACCTGATTCGTTCGATCAACCAACAAAAGAATGTGTGACGAAACTGTCATGGTTGTGACGAAAGTGACAAAGGCGACGACTGGAAAGATGGGCCGAGCAATCTGAAGAGCGATTCAGCTAGCCGCTAGCAAGGCAGCCCTTGGAGACATTCGATATGGTTAAACGGATTGTAAGAAACAGTAATCTGTTGACAGTTGAAATCATTCTTTCAAAGCGTAAAAATACACCAAGTGCGGAAGGATTATACCCGGTCATTTTCAGATAAAGCGGAGAAGCTCGGGCAGTTTGCCTAATGAGATTATTGGTGCCACGTGAAAGGAAAAAGGTACATGCGGAATGCGGCAGCCTCATTATCTCAATCTTCAAAGAGAGTAAACTAGCACCGTGAAAACCACTATCTGCTATTGAGGGAAATTTTTAGCACAACAGGTTGTATAGATGACTGTTGTATCGTTCACTGAGTTCAGCAGTTGGGTTGCAAACGATATCAACCAAGATGACGTCTTCAGTGCGTAGTAGATTGTGGCTCTGTGTGGATGTTCAGTACTGCGTCGTTAGATGGGTTCATTATGCGTTTTGCCCTGCACCCTCTATCGGTTTTCCTCACGGATGGGCTGAACATCGGCCCAGGTTTAGCCCTGAAGAAGGGTGTACGTATAACTCTGCTGTCCGACAGATTCTGGAACAGCAACACTGTTTCCACCAATCAACAAAAGGCATGTTCCGTGATTTAAAATTGCGTTGGGTTCTGTTGATCATCAGGCAATACGGCAGTGTTAGTGAAGCAAAAGTGCTTCCCCGCATTCTCAATATTTTTTAAGACGTTGCATGTCAACTCCCGGAGACAAGATAGGTGCTATGGCAGGCTCTCCTCTTAGTCCATTGCATCCAGTGGTAATTGCAGAATCCGTTCTCTGTCCCTCCAAATGGTCATCGACGTGGATAAGGAAAACTTCTTCCCAGCCTCTGATGCTTAAGCGGTCGAAATGCCTCCAGGCGTCCGCTCACAGACATCTAGTACGCGGACTATGTGGTCCTACAACTGCACACAATAGCAAATAAACCAAAAAATTTGGTGTGCATTCCACACCCACAAAAAGAAGCTGCGAGAAGGGGTGCGATCAAGCCCAAAACTCTTTCCTGCAGATGATACCATTGATGTGGCAGGTATCTGTTTTATTTGTTGGGGATTGCAGGATTTGTAGAATGCACACTAGTTTGAAAAATCGTCCTCCTGCCTTGGCGCAATCTTTCTGGTGAGTGCACACCAAAGGGAGGAGGAAATAAACTTGAGTTTCGCTCTTATCACAGCTCATAAGTAGTGTGTATCCTGGACCATGTCGGGGTTTGAACTCTGAACATCGAACATGCGAGGCGGGTGCTACCACTACTCCACCGGAACAAGCTGGATGCGTCTGAATTTTTACGTCTGAACAGGTGGACATTTTTGCGCTTGAGTGATGAGAGCGGAAAGTCTGACGCCTTAAAAGACAACCTAGTAACACACCACAGCTTTGTCGATTGATTGGCCCGCCTGTGTCGGTCCCCGTAGTCTACCTGGGGACGGCACCGCCACCCGGATTGGGAAAATTAGAGTGGCATGATCGTGCCATTAGCTTGCCTGTAGTGTTGCTGTACGTCCCATATTTTTATGAGCCAAAGACCTGGTCATTTATAACCAAGGGCTTCAGAAAACATCCCGTGTTGGAACTCCGATGTTTTCGGACCGTTGGCCGACGCCGGTGGGAGTATCAGATCGGAAGTGCGCCCTGCAGTCTTCAAAAGAAATAATTCGAGCAAAATGTGTGCGACACTGTACCGACTGTGCTAGCTTGGTCATGTACCTCACAAGCAATTCAGTCGACTTGCTAAAACAATCCTGATCGCACAATCGTGCGAAGGACGGAAACGAGCCATAAATTGACAGCAAAGGACGAAAGCAAACTCAGCTGTGTTGGTAGTCGTCGTCTCGTTGGATAGAAATCGAAAACGAGACCGACGAATGGTTAGAGATACTGGCGAGCATGAACTGGCGCGTGGATCCCAAGTATTTTTTCCGACGCACAGTTTGTCCTCTAGAAGTTCCCCCCCCCCAATGAAAGGACCTACTGCTATTCCTGGATTCACCAGTCATCAATGTGTAGCTACTCGCTCTTGTTTCCTTAGTCATCAATGAATGAAGACAGAACCAGTGCGTAAGCATCTGATGATGTTGAGACGGTTAGCTAGATAAATGAAATCAGCTTAGTGTGTGATAAGCCTACGAGTAGAATTGAACTGTGTAAATACAATGGTCAATCATCACGGCGCAAAGAAATCGTTTTGCAAAGCGACATAAGTGTCAGTGAACCAAAGTCGAAAATGTGACGCCATCTGCAACTTTTAAGGGTCACATTGGGGTGGGGAGAAGCCCCAAACTTGGACTTTTCGCCACGTCGAATGGTTCAGGATGGACTTACAATGCAAATCTACGCGGTTAGTGACTCCAAATGAAAATTTAACGGAACCCAAAAAGCGCCTGACATCAGTTTAAACTTTGCTGGGAATCATCGGCAGTGTGCACAACACTGAAAATCGCTGCAAATGAGCTGTGCCTTATCGATAATAACAGATTTATCGAACACGATGATAACTCACCTTGAGCATATCGTAAGGAAAGCGCTCGTGGAATATCCGTCCAATCTCAGCACCACCCGAAAGTGACTGTGTATCCACATTGCCCAGATTGCCATCGATGATATTGGTAAATTCAGTCTCGAAAGATCGAACCATCCTAAAATAGGTGAAAAACCAGATAAATCTAGACTGGACTGTTCGAGATATCGGAGTATATTTTCCTGACGGAACACTACTCAGCTGAATCTCTCATCAAGGAAATATTAAGCTGGGACTCAGCTGAGTTCTCCGTTAAAACCAAATAATTGTGCGAATGAGTGTTACAGTTCTAGTTGCTCTAACACTGTAAACTGACATCAAACCACTTGAATTTCGCCTTCTCGTATGAAATTGGTATTTTAAGAAGATAAGCAATAAGCCCCTACCTTTCGCTTTTCTTTTCACACTTTACTAAGGCTCTCTTCCCTCATTGTTGTTTGGCACTTAAGCACCGGTATGTATTACTGGCGTATTGCTACCGATGTAAGGGCGGATACTACTGGGGAGGCATGTGAGTATTATGTTTTCTCGTAACTCCACCGCGAAGGGCTTTCCTCCTTTCTTTTCCACCCAGGAACGTTCGCACATCCCCATCCTCAGAAGGTCGTGGCTACGGGATCTTCATCTATATCATGCTCACGGCACCAATTGAAAGGATGGAAGCCATGAGAGAAAACAGACTACTCGCGCGCCTCATCAGTAGTATCCATCGTTGCACCGGTACTGGTGTCGGGATGACCATGAGCTCCTTCGAAATGGGTGCGAACTGCACCACGCACCAGTGGTGGGGACGTGCATCACGTGACGATTCATACAGCAGAAAAAGTGCTGCTTCGAATCAAATTCTGGGTGGCAATTAGGAGTAGCTCTACCACCAGTCGTGATTTAATAGAGTCCTACTAGGTCTAAGTAGAACCTGAAACTCGGGAGACGACGTGGGCGCCTGCCGATGGGAACAACATCCTTTCCAACACCTTTTACTAGGATTGTCTAATCGTCTTAGTTTCAAAATCTAATAGGGAAGTAAATAGTTTATAACCGATGCTCTTTCGGTGCACAACCGCCGTGTCACTCGTAAGAAACAACAACACAGATATATTGCCGGGTTTCCCAGCTAAGGTCAAGCTAAACTGAAAAGTCCGAATGAACACAAAGCGCGAAGCCCCCCGTTAGGAGATACGAACAGAAAGGAAAGGGCAACATCAGCCGGTATTCGCAAGACAGCCGACACGAATAGCAGGAAAAGTAACCCGTTCCAAAGATAACCGGAGATGCTGCGAATCCATCAATCACAGAGGGATGATGCTGCAAACCCTATCGCAAATACACGTAAACCCACTTGCCAGCTAGAGGTATGAGACAAACGGAGACGAACCTTCATGCACAACACTACCCGTTATCTGAACCACTGGTTCAACCGAAAATTCATTTGTAACGCTCCTTCATGTCGCGCGTTTGGCGACAACTGGCTAACAGAACTGTGGTTCGAACTGCTTGGTATGCAAATCAAGGTGGCTGATCTAGTCTGCAGACAACAGGCACCAAACTCATACGTTGGCCAACACACATACAATCACCCTGAGCACCACCAGTATGTCACAGCATTTGTGCAGAAAGTGAAAACACTGTTGTAACTATTAGACAGTACAGATATCCATGGTAAGTGATGAGACCAGTGACGTGTGAATTGGGAACGGTAGGAGTGATAACTGGACGCCGCATGGTATTCTCACCTGCTGGCCACTACTAGGACTCTTGCGTGTGGACCACGAGATGCACTAAACTTAAGTAAATTGGCATCATTATTATTTGGTAGGAGGGAAGAGCAAAAAACCACATGACCACGTACCGTAGTAGCGCAGCAGTTTTGTAACTTGGATCATCTGGTTTTAGTGCCATGACCTCATTCACCTCTTTTTCGATGTTGTGCAACTGTGATTGAAGTCGGTTGCGCATACTTGGAAGAGCATCACGAATATGAGTGGTCAGCTGCTGGTTGAGGGTGCGTTGCAAGTAAGGGGTGCCCATTTTGTCGGCCAGATGTCGGTAGCCAGGATGCCCGAGGAAAAACCTCCGTTCTGCGGCCAACGCAGCCGCGATGTCTTTCTTCCCGTCAATGTCTCTCTGACTTCGGTTGACCACACCAACATAGCCTAGGAAAGTCCAGAAACACGAGCATCAGGAGGAGAATAAGCATTAAAAAGGAGAGGAATAGTGATGTGAACTGAAAAACAAGCGGGTTCAGGTCAAGACTCATTTAAAGTCCTCTTTTTTAGTGGTCACTCTCGTTTCTCCCTAGAAGGAGGCAAACAGATCAGACAAGCACTGACTAAGGATAACCCCCCCATTGAACAATGCGAGTGGGTCATCCGTACAAGATGTTAAGTGGTATCACTGAGAGAACATACGAAGTCATAAGCCAACGAAGCTGTAGAAATTTCCAGGTCCCTATCGCAGTTTGAGTGACAGCAGGCGACCACGATAATTGTCAATCAACTTGCTTGGCCAAGCGGTCAAAATGCCTCTCTTTAGTGAAGATGTTCGCGCCACTTGGTGGATTCATTCAAATGACTTCCTAGGATCCGTTGCGCGGATTAACCGAAATAATGTTCTTGCCCCTCCTCCAGCATTCTGCGCACCTTCCATTTCCGTAGCCTACTGTGTCCACTAGGCTTCATGGTGAGTGCACACGCCAAGTTTCACTTGACGTTGGATAATTTGTCAGAGACTGGCGGAAACGTTTCTCCGATTCGAGCAGCGCTCTGTTCTGTCCGATATCGTGTTTGAAGCTTCCGGCATTGTTCAAGGAGGAGGCGATGTTGGTCCAGTAAGAAGTGACATCTGTCGCGAAATCTTACCACGGTGTGGCGGTTTGTATGCCTCCGCGACCCATTGAGCTACACCTGACTCAAGACAGTCGCCTTGGTGGTCGGGCTTGTGTTCCGCAATGATCCTGCAGGCTCTAATGGTTGGAGCTCAGTTCCTGAAGGTACAACTATGCCAGGAAGACTAAACGGAGAGCATCTGAAAGGTGAGCAGCGAGTCCCCGTACTAAGAGCAGTCGTATTACCAGGCGGTCCGGAGATCAGGTCATAGTGAAGCATTTCATTTGGGCGACAGGCATGTTCATATCTATGGAAGTAGCAATGCTGCTGCTGTCAATCAACTAGCCGTTGCTGTGTATCCAAGTTTCTGTGATCAATCCGAAGCAGCAATGCTGCTGCTGTCAATCAACTAGCCGTTGCTGTGTGTCCAAGTTTCTGTGATCAATCCATCAATCCATCCATCGATCAATCAATCAATCAATCAATCAATCAATCAATAAATAAATCAACCAATCAATCAGTCAATCAATCAATTGATTAATTTATCAGTTATAAACCGTGTGCCATAGGCACATTGGTTTCAACTGCTACAGTTTCGATCACCGGAAAACGGGAAAGTGGAATACAAAACCAAACCTTGGAGGCAAAGGCATGCTCAGTCTGTTCGGAAATCGGATGGCTACGCATTGAAGGTCGTAGCTTTGATGCACGAGCCCCATCGACTGCGCGATTGGGCCTTTTCCGCCAATGTCAATAACCACTGGTGATTTGAGTCCGGGGGAACCATCCAGGGAGGAGTACATGACCCAACAAGCGCAGCCCATGAAGCGTGAGTAATTCATCTATCGCGGGAGAGTTTGTTCCTCCTGAGACCAGTTGGCATACCTCATCATTACTAATGCGATGTCCCCGAAGCCTAGCTGCCGTGCCACCTGAAGGAAGCACGAGGACTGGGATACTGCCATGTTGCCCAAGCCTAGACAGGGGAAGTTGGGAGGCAGAGGCGGGGTTTGAACCACGGACCTTCATGTCAGTAAATTCGCGCTCTAACCACTTGAGCCATCTCGCCCCGATGTTCCCACAAGACCTGACCAGTGCTTCGGAGACACCGATGATCAAACACTGACATCTTCCGTATGTCCTCTGAGCGTAAGGGTCACGTCTCTGATCAATAGAGCAGTATGGATCACACCACGCGGCGTCAACTCTCTCCTTGACAGACAAACTCACGTCACGTCGGCAGCATAGGTGTCAGGTTGGCAAAAGCTGACCTGACCTTTTCGATTCGAAAAATAATCTCATCTCCAGCCAGTCCACCAGAACTTATACAGCTGCCCAGGTAGACAAATTTACCTACCACGTCGATTGGCTCACTTGCAAGCATGAGCTGTGGGTTTGATCCCGCAGTCTTGTAGCAGCACTTTACACTTTGCAGGTGTGAGGCAAACCGAGTTATTTAGGTTATTTGAAATCGTTTGCGTTTGGGGAGGATCTGAACCAAGAAGAGCAATATCGTCCGCATACTCAATATATGTGAGGGAACGTCCCGGGAGCATTTCGACTCCCGAGGTTTCAGAGGCAGGCAGAGGAATCTCAAGCAGCATACCAATAACAAAGTTGAAGAGGAAAAGGGAAAGGGGACAGCCTTGTCTTACACTACTGGATGTGGTGAACTCAGGCGAGAACTTCCCGTATACTCACACACACACACTCTCTCTCTCGCCCTGGCCCACAGGAGTTTGCATTCAATGCCCTCATAAGGGAGGAAAATATGGAGGGAACACCTTTGAACGCCAGACGCTGCCAAATTTGCTGACGATCAACAGAACTAAAAGCAGCTTTCAAATCCAGAAAAACGACCAACGTGGGACGTCTGAAGCAGTGGAGCTGTTCAAGAATTTGTCTCAAGGTGAAGATATGGTCGATGCATACTCGACCAGAGAGAAACCCAGCTTCATTCTCACAAACCTGTGTCTCCCGATAATCCATCAATCTGCGCAAAATAATGCTACAGAGCACCTTAAATGCGACGGATACGAGGTTGATACCACGATAGTTTTTGCATGACGTTGTTGCTCCCTTTTTGAAAACTGGGATGACAGTCGAGGAGCTCCATTCATCTGGTATTCCGTTTTTGTTCCAAATCTACTGCAGTATAGCAGTCAGACTGTTCACCAGGACCTTGCCACCTTTGAACAGCGCGTGGTGTAGGCCATTCGGGTCATGCGCTTTATCGAGCTTCAGGATTGAAATCTCGCGCTGGATTTCGGCTGCTGATGAAGGGTTGGTGTCAATCTTCCATCCTGGCCCGCTTGGTTCTTCTGCCGGTTGTGCTGAAGGAGACCAGGGTAACTGTTCTTGGAAGTGCTCAGCCCACAACTCAAGAAGGTGACTGAGGGAGTGAATTGCTGTTCCGGCTTTTTCGAATATTGTCTCCCTAACACCTGTCTTCTTTTGACCCGCTGGTCGGATCAGCTGAAACAGGATGCGGCTCTTACCTGCAGCAACAGCCTTCTCCATCTCCTGGGCCTTCAAAATCCACCAGCGTTCTGTCATCCTTCAAGCTCATGATTATCCAGTGTTTGAGGGATCTGAGTGCGCCATCATAGTCGCAAGTTGCTGGTATGACCTTGCTGGCAGCAATAATATCCGCTGAACTCGAAGATATCCAGTGTTCATTGAGTCGAGTCAGATGGGTTGGACAAACAATTCTGAAAGCTGACAGCATCGCCTACATTCACCGTCCAAGCAGTCTTCGTCGTCCACATGCTGTGCGTTTCTTGTAGCTTTCTAGTCAGATCCGCTCGATAATCCTCAGCTACTGAAATTTGTCCAAGTTGATGAACGAAGCTGCTTTCTTTCGGCACGTGTAGTGCTGGCGAAAAGTGAAGTGCTAAGCGGGCCCGCACGATGGCATGATCAGAGTCAAGTTGCGTACTTCAGAAGGAACGACAATCCTTAACTGAGGCTCTCTGTAACTGATAGCCACATGGTCCAATTGAATCCACGATTGTCTTGTAGCAGGTGGCCTCCAAGTAACTCGGTGTGCGCGTTTGTGTTGGAAGTTCGTACTGGCCAGGAACAGACGATGATCTGCACAAAAATGAAGAAGCCGCTCTCCATTATCCGTACGCTCTGCATCGACTCCAAGTTGACCACCTAACTTTGCTTCTTCCGGACTTAGTCGTCCAACTTGGGCATTCATATCACCAGCCGGGATTACTATATCCATCTTTCCTTACGACCGAAGCAGTCGTGACAGATCTTGATAAAACTCGTCCAGTCTCAGTCTCAGAACTGCTATCTGTTGAGGCGTATGCTGACACGACAAACAAACAATGTTTACCGCATCGACCGGCGTTAATCCTAATTGAGCCAGACATTCGTACAGCCCAAAGGCGACTGTTTATTAGGGTCCAGTCCAGTGAGGCGCCTTCAGCCTTGGGGATGAGTGCAACTCCCACACCGCAGATACCACGAGCCTTTGCGTGAGAATCGCCGGACACCCGATGAGTGAAATGTGGGACATCTGGGCTCACCCTAAGCGGCTTGAGGAGCACGATCGAAGTGGGGTCTTGTATGCGTGTTTCGGAGACACAACATACATCGATAGAGAGGGGAAGTAAGGTTTCAGCGAGGGATGCCTGTTGCCAAATCTGACATAGAGTACGGACATTGAAGGCTGCAACGTGGATCAGATATTTTGATGTTAGTGGTAAGTCGTTCAGCCGTAGCACCCTTCCAAGGCTTAACTGCCATGCCACCCGAAGGCTGCACGAGGGCTGGAATACTGCCAGGGCACAAGCCTAGGCATAAGAGGTCGAGAAGCAGAGGTCACTTTCGAACCGCAGACCTTCCGGTCAATAAATTCGCACTCTAACCAACTGGGCCATCTCGATGTTAGTAGGTGATTGTTTTGGTTTATTTTTCCGGGCGATGGTTGAGACATGGCTATGGGATTGGCAGATGGGTTCATTCCACTGCATTGTACGATGGGTTGGGAGGGAATGAGGGAGAAGGCCGGCGAACGAAGAGCTGCAAGGACAGCTGATACTTCACGGTTGCCCAGGCCGAAGAAGGGGGGTTTAGTTGAGTTACCCACCTTGAGCCTTTGACTCAAAAGTCTGATGCAGAGTTTTGTTCGGGGACTCTGACCCTAGCTTCTGACTTAGTAGTCTGAACTGCGAGACAGTGGTCGTTGGGGTTTTTTTGGGGGACCCTGCCGGGAGCTAATAACTCAATGGTCCGGCCTACTTAATTGTAGGAGGCCGGCCTGGGCTGGAGGCCCAGGGAGTAGGGCATTATTGTCTCATTCCTGATGCGGCTGC